ATTGTTAAAACATTTTAAAAGATTAAATCCATTCGTTTGTTTAAAACATTCAAATAGCTTGCATCATTATGATTGAGTCTATTTAAACTCAAACATAGTCCCAATTTAATGTTCAGGAATTCTAGGCATGTTTCTACGTTCCATCCTTCAATAGATATGAAAAATACATAATTCAAACATGTAAAAATTCACACCAGAAATCAAATCAAAATCATACATTTATTAATTCACAACACAAGAACAGATATGAACCAATTTCATAAAACCTATATTCTAATCCAATTAAATATGCATAATTATTTAATTTTATGTGTTTAAAAAATCATAGAATTTCCTAGGCATGTACAGAAACACGAATCAAAAGAAAAGAGATGGAAGAAGAACTTGCCTTAAACTTTCGGATCGAAAGTTAAACTTCTTCTTCCTTGATCTTCTCTTTACAGGGTTTTTTTCCTCTTTCATTCCTTAATTTTCCTCCTTCCCTCTCTAACTCTCTCTCTAGAATATATCACGTGAATATTTCTAACCCCCTTTTACAACTTATAGCTATATATTTATAGGCTAAATAAACTAACCCTAACCCTTTTACCAATCCAAATCAACTTAAAAAATAATTATTAAAATATTAAAAAAGTAAGTAAAATATGTTACGTATATAATTTATGTATATCTTTATTAAATAAATAAATTATACCCATCCCATTATTTATTAATGGATTATTCAATAATACCTAAGTTACCATAATATTATAAAGTAACTTAAAACATAAAACGTATCAAATCTATGTATATTTTTATCATTTAAATATAAAACATATACATCAGATTAAATATTACTACCCAAGTTACCATAAAAGTAATTAATAAATTACCCATTATTTATTAATGGATTATCTAATAATACTTAAGTTACCATAATATTATAAAGTAACTTAAAACATAACACGTATCAAATCTATATATATTTTTATTATTTAAATATAAAATATATACATGAGATTAAATATTACTACCCAAGTTACCATAAAAGTAATTAATAAATTACTTTCCCTTATATATATATACACACACACACACACACACACACACACACACACACACAATTATCCATAGGTAATAATCCATACCTATCTAACCTCCCATCCAAGTAGTTCATGAGACCCAATTGGTTGGCTCATTACTACTAACCATAACCATAAAAAAAAAAATAAAAGAAAATAATAAAATAAAAGAAAACATTTAATTTACAATTAATCAAATCACCATTTAAGCACATAATCTAATTAAACAATTAACACATAGACAAATACAAATAACACATAGACACATAATCAAATACTCAAGTAACACTTAATTCAATTCACCCATAAGCAATTAGTCAAATAATCAATTAAATAATTAAAAATACAACTAAAATAAATAAATAAATACCTAGACTATCTTTTTAAAATTAGGGATATTATATTCTTCCTCCCTAACAAAAGAAATTTCGTCCTCAAATTCGCCCTTACTTTCTTCCATTATACTTGGAAACTGTGAGCGAAAAACATCCTCCTATTCCCAAGTAGATGCAACCTTACTATGAGGGCTCCACTTAACTCCAATATACCAAGTGGTTTATAGGGTTCCTATATTTTAAGAAACACAATAATCATACAATGCATAGGGTGTATCAAATAACAACGTAATCCTCCCATTTCGACAAGGGAATGATCTACATACCTCTAAGTGCCATAGAATATACACACAAATTCCTATGCACCCAGCGCTAATAATTTGGTAACGTTAATCCAGAGGCGACTGTCTCAATTGCGAAACACAATCCTTTAAAGGTCAATGTAGTAAGTAAAATTGACCGTTATCCAAAAAACGTCTTTCTTGCTAATCTACCAAATTTATGTCCTCAAGCGATCTTTTTTAATTTACCACTCGGATTCCATATGGAAAATTGAAATTCCAAATCAATGTCAATCTTTCCCACCGACCGTCAATCCTGTTTAATTCAACTTCCATATTATGATATCTGATGATCAACTTTCCACCTTTGTAGCAGGTTTCACACTTAGGGCAATTATATACACGTCCCTATCCATACCTGTTCACCAAAACTGACATTTGATGTTGTGATGTACCTTCTAACCATTTGAGTGTACCAAGAAAAATTATAAATTTCCATCTCAGTCGTCCGACCGTCATATCACTATTTACAGAGACTACTAACTCATCCTCTAGTAACTTAAACTCTATCTGAGTAGGGTAACACCTTCTCTAGGGTCAGCTCTGATATTCAAAATTGCCTACCTGAACTACCTTGGTAATAATAAGTGTTATTATTACACCTGTTATATATTCAACTGATAACTCATCAACGAACCGAAAGATTTAAATATCCTATCGGTTGTTGAGAGCATCCACTTCTATCTTCGCTTCTAACAGACGAAACTTGATGATTCACACTTTGCATCTATCTAAGCCGTCTCGTGATCCGTTCTATTCGTATGAACTGATATCTTACCAGCTCAATCAAAATAGACAAGATGAAACTAATTTAATTTTATCAGTCAACTAATATCCCATCTAAAATCCGGACCCGTATGTAAAATCAGAAATCCCTCAACTAAATCCATAAAATGCTCTCTCATTTCCACTTCAGTATAAGAAATGGTTGCAAGGATCTGGTGATCTCTGAGGGTCCATCTCTATTATCTAATAAATATTAGACTTTGAGACAAAATCACTATGTCCTTCCTCCTGCCTGTCCTCTAAACATTTGCTTCATATCGTGAAGCATCATATCTCCACTTGGATAAAATAGAGAACGAAGAGTTGTGAATCTCAATCCCTCCATCCAGTTTGTCTGTAGAAAGTACCGTTAGTCCGGTACCACCAGCCTTCATCTGTACCCACTGGTTAAATTGGAGCATCTTCAAAAGCGAACTCTGTAACCGAATCCATTCATCATTAATCTGTGATAGACTTACCAATAACGAAAGTCAACCGGTAATTATATTCATCAAACGTCAACTATCCTATTAACTCTACAAAAGTCAACACATTACGACCTTTCCAGACATACCATGCACCTTTTCTTTATATAGGTGGTTGGTCTCACCATCTTGTCTTTGACACACCCTGCTTCTTTAAGACAAGTTAGTGTTAATCTGACATCTTTGTCTAACTTCAAAAGAATATGAAATATCATCCTCCAAATAAGTTATCAATTTCCTAGCAATAGCTAATTATTGCAAATTGTGACCTAAAAAAAATTTCCATATTATTTATGCAAGTGAATAAGACTTAGTTTCCTTCTCTATATGCAACACCGGCAACTCCTCCTAATGACACGCCCTCACGAATAAAATTCTTGATGAAGATTAGACTGATGAATATTTATTCAGTCTACTATCCTCAATTGGTGTCATTCTAATAAGTACCTAAACCAGTATTAAATCCTCGTTCCAACTTGGTAACAACTTCTGGAATTTTCCAAGAAGATGTTCAACAAATCTGGCACCTCAGATAAATCATCGTGGTGTTACAGTGATCTTTATTTACCACCATCTCACACATCCCAAAATATTAACAACCACCATTATCATGGCGTTGTAATATGACACGAATCCATATCTAGAGTAAAGTAAATCAAACTAATCATACTAGATTATTTGACTCACAGTGATGGTTTAACTATCCCATCCCAAACAATATGCTAGAATGACGCATGTCCAGGTCTAATAAATTGGCTAGAATTATGTGTATCTACCATATCCTACGACCGCATGCTCACAAATCTAGCGTAAATAGCGTTATTACTCCATATTATTAAAAATAATAGTTGACTGATCACATACTTGTGTCCCCAACTAAACCACATACCATTAACCGGAATAATCAACGAAAATAAAACACATATGACAAACACACTAGCACAAAATATACTCCTACTTAGGACATCGTTCTTTCTAGAAAAGAAAGTCTCCTTTGAAATCAACCTTACTAGATTGTTTCACAATTTCCTTTTATAGTTTCGTAGGTAATCATCCAACCTCGAAACATATCCTTTAAACATAGCTTAAAAGCAACATATGTTTGCCTAAGCAAATACTAAGGACTTAACCCTCATCCTCCCTATACGCGGAATGTAAACTATCTAAGTTGGCTTTATAAAGCGAATTAGAACGTCACAACATAATACCGATACCTTCCTGAATGTGATACAAAATCATACGTTCTGTTCTAATAAGAATTCCATCAAATTCCCAATCTTCTGAAGAGTACTTCTTATATATCTCTTTTAGAGATGATAAGACAGTTTAATTATACGTAGATTAATCAATACTAATTCTACAAATAACATTTGCTATACAACCAGCAAGTAAGATCACCCTCGCGCGATCATCCATCTTCTAGATGTAGTACCCTCTCTTTTGGATACGCTAAAATCTCCCCCATTAGGATCCTCTTTGGACTCCTAATCCCCGCTTGTCTCCTTTTTGAGATCAATTGAAGTCGTGTTGGCCCCGATATGCGGTGACCTATCATGCACATCTAAATCCTTCCTTGGCTTATACTTTAACGTAGCTCCAAATGAACCTAAACCTTCGATCCCTAATTCTGCCTTTGGGCAATGAAATTAATAACGTACTCATTTACTCCTTTGGGTCTTTATCGCTGTCGCCTTGAACCCCATCCTTTTCCTAGTGCCAACCCTTCTGTAACTATAGAATATAATTGACATCAGCTTTTCTTAACGAACCGTAAATAGAGTACAATGAATCCTAATATGGGCTCTAAGTTTTAAGAGATGCAACGCGAAAGTCACATAACGGAAGACACTCCTAAGGACACTTGAACCTGGAGTGCTCTGATACCAACTGTGATACCCCCGAATTTCTGAATATGCCAACTATTATACCTATACCATCTAACTCTCATCCTTCATGGCGAAGTTGTTCTGAAGGAGGTAAAACTAACTCTTTCGTTAATCTATGATATGTCAGTACGGCTATTGGCTTTAAAGTTTCCATTACCGAAGAGGATGTTGCGGAGGAAATCAACTATTGGAAATCTTCAGTTGTTGGATATGTGATGGGTAAGAGGCAATACTATCCTCATTTCAATGCCTTTATTGAAAAATACTGGTCTAAAGCAATCACCTTGGTGTATCTAAAGAATGGTTTCTTTATGGTACGTTTTCAACATGCAGCCGATGTGCAACAAGTGTTATCACGTATTCATACATTTGAAGGCCGTGTAATTATTATTAAGCAATGGAGTAAGAATGTTACCTTAAAGAGGGAGAATTTTGATTCACTTCCAATATGGATTCGTGTTCATGATTTACCAGTCCATTGTAGGAATTCTATTTCATTATCTAAGGTTTGTTCATTGTTCTCAAAGCCGATCTACATGGATGAACCTGATTTACATCGTGATAAAGATGAGTTTGTTCGAGTAATGGTTGAGGTGGATATTTGCCAGGATCTGCCAGAATCTATGGTTATTGACATACATGGTGAAGATTACACTGTTAATATTGAATATGAATGGAAACCAGTGGTGTGTTCTTTGTGCTAGCGGGTCGATCATGCTGTAGTCAGATGTCCCCAAAAAGTTTTGTCCAAACCTAAACCAAAGAAGCAGATGGTGGACAAATGGGTTGTGAAATATAAAGGAAAAATGGTGAAAGTTGATGATGGACACCATGTGCTTGATAAAGAACCTGTGAGACAATTACAAAGTGCTCAAACTATTACTCATAATTCTTTTGCGGTGCTTGATCAGGTTGTTGAAGATACAATTTCTGACCAAGAGGGCGAAGTTATTATATTGGCTGTTAATCTAGATACCGATTCCAAGAAGGATACCAATCTGAGTCAAAATGAGTCTCCCATGGTGAGGGATACTCTTTCAGTTGCTATTACTGGTAGAGAGCTGGAATCATCCGTTGATACAACTGATAATGCTTTGGATAAAAATAATGTTGTGATTGAAGGGGTTAACATTGTGGATTGCAGTCCTACAGCAGACTCTCAGTTACCCATTACAGGAACAAGTGCTGAAACAAATGTGGGGGAGCCAATTCTCCATACCTCTCTCAATAAAAAATCAGTTGATATTGAGGCAATATTAAAGGTGAAAGTGAGCAAGAAATCTAGATACCGAGCTTTGATTGCCTCTGATAGGGTTACTAGAAGTTAAGTAGGGGTTCCTACCCCAACCCCTTCCACTCAATGATTGGTTTTTGGAATGTAAGGGGTTTGAATAAACCCAGAAGGCAAATGGAGGTTAAGAATTGGATTGCTAAGGAAGCCTCTCAATTTGTTTGTTTTGTGGAAACTAAAGTGCAGTTAAATTCTTTTGATCTCATTACTAGTAGGTTAAGGAATAATTGGGAATGGACTCATAATTATGATGCCCATGACTATGGTCGAATTTGGATAGGACGGAATCCATTATTGTTTTCGATACAAATTCTAGATGTGAAGGCTCAATGTATGCTGCTCAAGATTGGAGTTCTAGAGTCTGGTGAGTATTTCTTTTATACTCCTATTTATGCTTTTAATTTGGCTAAAGATAGAAAAGGGCTTTGGGAGTCTCTTGTTCAATATGCTGCCATGGTGAATGGTCCTTGGATGGCTGTGGGGGACTAGAATTCCATTAGATTTTTTTGTGATAAAAGGGGTGGGAGAAGAGTTCCTCAAAGACTACTAAATGAATTCAATGATTGCTTGCAAGATGCTAGCCTTATTGAAGTTCACCCTATTAATGGAGACTGGTCCTGGTGTAATAGGCAGCAAATTTTAAGGAGAATTTATGTAAAATTAGATAGGGTTTTCTTGAATGAAAGCTGGCTTGACAAACTTCCAGGGACTAAAGTTATGTACACTGCTGCAGTATGCTCAGATTACTATAGATTGGTGATTCATATCTCTAAGGAGTTTGCATCTGGCCCTAAACCTTTCAAACTACTTAAGGTCTAATGTCAACAAGGTTGTGTTAGACCTATTGTTTAGAAGGCTTGGGATAAGGTGGTGACTGGTAACCCTATGCATATCCTTTTGAAAAAGCTAAGACTAGTCAAGACTGTCATTAAAGAATGGAACAAAAACTGTTATGGTGATATGGGGGAAAGATTGATTCAGACCAAACAGAAGCTTGAGCAATTACAGTTGCAACTTTTGATTGATCCTACTGATAACAATTTCTAGGTTGAACAAGAGGCTAGAGATAAATATCAAGCTGCTGTTGTTGATCATGAGGCTTTGATTGCTCAAAAATCTAAAATCTTTTGGTTGAAAGATACTGACAGATGCACTGGGTATTTTTACAACAAAATGAAGCAACACAGAAACTTCAATGTCGTCACTTCAGTGGAACATGAGAATGGACAGACAACTAGTGATCTTGGATTGATTAGAAGCTGGTTCATTGAATTCTATCATAATCTATTTGCTAAGAAAAATGAAGAACTTCTAGAGGTTATTCACACTTCTAAACAACTGCAAATTAAAGAGGTTGAGGCTCTTGACAGAATGGTGAGTGTAGAAGAAATTCAGAGTGTGGTGATGGGTTTCAATCCGGACAAGTCTCCAGGGCTAGATGGTTTTCCTTCACGTTTTTATCAAACTTATTGGTCAATTGTGGGCAAGGAAGTGGTTGCAGCAGTGCAGTATTTTTTCTCAAATACCAACATGCCACTTGGGATTAGTAGTTGCTTTCTTACCCTTATTCTGAAGGTTGGAAATGCAAAGAAATTAGGAGAATTTAGACCTATTGCCCTATGCAATTTGATTTATAAAGTCATTACTAAAATTATGGCTAACTGATTGGCTTTAGTGCTAAATTGCCTGGTGGGTCCTGAACAAAATGCATTTGTCAAGGGTAGGAAAGTCCAAGATGCTCTAATTCTGGCTCATGAAATGGTAAAGGATTTTAAGGGCCCAAGACATGCTTCTATGGCTTTAAAGGTGGATATAAAGAAAGCATATGACTCAGTCTCTTGGGATTTCTTGTTGAAGATTCTGAAGGGGTATGGTTTTAGTGATGTTTAGATTGCTTGGATCTCCACAATTCTTAACTCTACTAGGTATTCATTCTTGATTAATGGTTCCCCTTAAGGTTTTATTCAGCCAGGTAGAGGTCTTCAGCAAGGGTGTCCTCTCTCCTCTTTGTTGTTTTCTTTGGTTACAGATCATCTTTCTTCTATTATTAACACTGCTTTTCAGAAGAATGATATTTCAGCTACACATGCTGCTTCTCAAACTCAACCTACTTTGAGTTATGTCTTCTTTGCTGATGACCTGTTGATTACGTGTAAAGCTTCTATCCCTAATGCTAAAGCTTTAGATGGATTATTTAAAAAGTTTGAGAAGTTATCAGGGTTATAAGTTAGTCAACAAAAGAGCACTGTAATTTTTTCTAGAGCAGCTAGAAGGAAGCTAACAATGCTTAGAATTCTGAAATGCTCTGAAGAACAATTTCCAATTAAATATTTGGGGTTGCCTCTTGGACCTTATGGATTGAAAAAAGTAAACTGTCAAAGATTAATTGATAAAGTCTCAGGCAAGATTAACTGTTGGTGCACCAGAATGCTCTCCGTTGCTGGTAAGGTGAAGCTTATTCAATCTACTGTCAATCCTATATTTTTTTATTGGTGCAGTATATACAATATTCCAGTATTTGTGATCAACCAATTGCAAAAGATGTGTAGGAATTTTATATGGGGTAGTATTGATCTTTCCAAAATACTCCATCTCATGAGTTGGGATAAGATTACTAGGGACAAGGCTGAAGGTGGACTTGGTTTAAGAAAACTTGTTGATATTCAATCTGCCTCACGAGTTGTTCTTAGTTGGGATTTCTTGATAAGTAAAGATAAACTTTGGGTGTCTTGGTTCAAAAACAAATATACTCCTTCATCAAGTTACTGGAATGTCATTCCTAAAATCACACACTCTGTCATTTGGAGAGCTATGGTAGAAATCCGAGATACTATGCTACAACATGTTAATTTCTATATTGGGAATGGATTGATGTTTCATATGCAAGATCCATGGTGTCATGGTATGACCTTTGCTCAAAGATTTGGACATAGAATTTTAAGGTCTCTGAATATCTCCAGAACTGCTCCATTGAGTATGTTATTGAAGAATGGTACTTAGGATTGGCAGCATTTTCAGGGCCCTGGTCTGCAATAAGTTAGATCTTTTCTGAATTCAGTGCCTATACATGATTCCATTGATAAGTTCATGTGGGCTAAGGGTAAATTTTCTTTTAAGAGAGCTTGGTAGGTTTGTAAAAGTCAGGTGGAGGAAGTTGAGTGGTATAAATTTTGCTGGGGAAGAGCTCAACCAAGATGGTTTGTTACTGCTGTTTTTGTTCTTCTAAACAAAGTGCCATCCATAGTTAATCTTCAGAGAAAAAAGGTTTGCTTGGTGCAGAGATGTACACTTTGTCACAATGCTATTGATTCAACTGAGCATATCTTTATAAAATGTAGTTTTTCTAATCAATTTTGGAACTGGTTAGGGGAGCTGCTTCAATGGAATTTAATTCAGTTAGCTGTTGTTGCAAGTACTAATGATCTTTTTAACTGGTTTAAAACTAATTCTTCTATGGGATTCCAACATCCTAATTACTGATCCGGGAAAAAAAAATCCAATACAGGGTAAAAAAGCTCCTAATTACCAATGAGGATGTACAACATCCTAATTACTGATTTGGGAAAAAAAAAATACTCTCCAGTTACTCTCTCACTGGATTTGGTCCAATGCGGGGTAAAAAAGCTGACTTGGCGGTTCAATTAAATTCATATTTACCAAACTTCTAATATATATATACATACAATATACATTATACGTAATATCTATTATTTAATGAATTGACTTTCACCTCATGAGTCCCAGTTGGTTGAAATTTGAATATTCTCAAAAGAAAAAGAGAATAAAAACCCTTAAAAAAAAAAACAAGAATCCAAAAAACGACTAAAAACAGAAAAAGAATTTCAGGAAAAAATGCAGATATATATTGAGAAATATATATATATATATATATATATATATATATATATATATAAGTATTATATTTGCTAATTTTGTTTTGATTGCCTTGATTTCATTGGCAAATATTTGTGTCTATATAAGAAGAGAGGTGGAAAATGAAAAAAAAAAAAAAAAGAATAAAAAAGGGGAAGAACATAGAATCGTATTTGCAAGGGAAAAAAAATAATAATAAAAATTTTATTTTTGTTCAATCATTCTCTTTAGAATTTAAGATTAGGGAAGTAAGATTTAGTTTGTGATGCAAGAATTAAAGTTATTCCATTCGATCGAATCCTACGCAACTAGGGTTCGAATTTTGAGAATGATTGATATACTAACCCAAATAACTTATAATTATATGATTTGTTCTTCCTTATAATTTTGTTTAAGTAGTATGTTTTGTATGCATATTTTATTTTTTGTTGAATTGTTTTAAAATGAGTTTATTTTGCATTTTAATTTTATTTTAATTTCAGTCAAAAGATAAAGTTCAATTGTATAATAATATATATACTCATTATACAAATTATAAACATATAGAGTGACATTCGTACATATGGTAAAACAAAAGTAATTTTTTTCTTAACTTGATTTAGTGATGACAAGACTATATTGAGGAGGTGGCGTTAATTATTACCTTTAGATGCTTACTGAACGTCATCGAGTGAGAGAGTAACTTGAGAAGATTTTTTTTTTTTTTTTTAATAACACATGAGCACATTATCTTTAATTACCAAATAAAAAATGGGGGGGGGGGGGGGGGTATATATTCACTAATCAAATCAGATATGGTGGTTAATTACCAAATTTAATAATAAAAGAGTGGTACTCATTTATTATTGGTCCACATCACTGATCAGAATGTTATACATTTTCACCAATAAGGATCTAAGTATTGTCCAAATTAAAATAAATAATACAGTTATAAAATGTCAAAACCACAACAAATATGATAATGAACAACAACTAATGTTACTTATGTGTACTTGAAAACAAAATTGTATCTTTTTTTTTGAAAGTTAAAGTTGAATTGCAAAAAAAGTAGAGAAACAAAGTTAGCCATAGCTAACTAATGGAAAGAAAGTTGGGCTAGGCCGAAATACAAAGCAAAGGAAAGAAATAAAGAGCCCAAAAGGCACAAAGCAATAAACAGATAACCATATATTGCATCCTAATTCCGGTAACAGGAGCGTAACTCCAGCTAGATAGTATCTCAATTGCAGTGGTCAGGTGGTTTCCTTGGTGGTTGGATAAAGGAATCTGGTACATCCCACTCTGCTATAATCCATGAAACGTTGGATGTGTCTGTGATGGATGAGAGTATGATCTTTGATCTGATTGATTCAAGAATTTGGTGTAGTAGTGAGTTTGCAATTAAGGCTTTTTTCTGAACACTACAACAGTTATGGCTTTTACCAGCGCTCAAAAACGCTGGTAAAAGTCCCAAAAAACGCTGGTAATTCAATTACCAGCGTTTTACCAGCGCTTTTGAAAAAGCACTGGAAAATCCAGTGTCGGTAGGACTTTACCAGTACTTTTTCAAAAGCGCTGGTAATGACCCTTTACCAGCGCTTTTTGAGAAGTGCTAGTATAGACCCTTTACTAGCGCTTTTTTGAAAAGCGCTGGTATAGGGTTTTTACCAGCGCTTTTTTAAGAAGCGCTGGTAAAAGGTCATTTTATGTTTTTTTTTTTTTTTTTTTCCTCTTTGCCAGTGCTCTTTAAGAAGTGCTGGTAAAGGCACATTTTTATTTTTATTTTTATTTTTACCCGTTATTTTTTTTGAAAAATGTCTTGGTTGCTAAATGTCATCCAATATAACACAAGTTAACCTGCTGCCAATATGAAAAATACCATCGAAATTGTTTACTAATAGATAAAGCTGGTAAATGTCAACCAAAACTCAAAAAATGTCTACTAATACAACCACAAGTTAACCTGCCAATGTGAAATAACCATCCAAATTGTCTAGATCTACTAAATGTGACAAAAAAAAGAATTAAGAATTTTTGACAAATGTAGTACAAGTTTTTCAAAAACAACCCATCCAAAGCGAAGGAAATGCTGAAAGCACAGCCACAACCCTATCTTCAGCTTCAACTTCAACTTTAACAACTCTTCTTGCCCATTTGATTTGAATTACCCAACATTTTTTATAAATTCATTAAGCGCACATTTTAATAAATGAAAATTTAACATATAAGAGAAATTAAAGTTCATAACCTTAACTGAATTGGCATCATGACTAGAAAATGACTATATACAACACAAGAACATGCACAAAACCTTTTACATACTAAATTATATATAAGACAATAATTTCCGAGTTCTGCTAAACTGCTATAAGAAATACTAGTAGCAAAATCATGTTCGTTAGAACCTAAGAATAATCACTCATATGAAGAGAATTTAGGAGATAAACAACGTGTGTGTGTGTGTGTGTGTGATAGATTTTCTAATAGTAACAATATGAAACAAGATTTCCCTAAAAGAATGATAATGTGGCGAATCATAGCATTTATAATAATAATTCTCCAAAGGATTAAAATTAGTTGTGGGAACTATAATTATTATTAATTTTGCAAATAATCTATAGTAATTAGTGATTTGAAGAGACAATACATGTTTTGTATTTTGTTTTTGTCTGGGTCTATATTATTTATCAACTATTGTAAGTCATTGGTTTCCTAAAAAAAAGGCAGAACTTGTTACTACAACCTAGATGATAGAACATAAACCTTTTCTATAACTGATTCGTTAAAAATTTGATTTTCAAATTACTATAACAAAAATTTGTACTCTTATGAGGTTTAAGTAAAACTGTTAGGAGTAGTAAAACATATTTCTATTTAAAATGATGTAGTTTAGGCCGAACTCAGAAGATGCATCCGTTTGGATTATCTAAGGCATTCTCCTTAAATGCATATAACGTATTGTACAAATTTATCAACTTTAGCCTAAACATGTTTGAGATGTAAAAAGACGGTACAATAAGATAGAAAGAAGTACCAAACTGGACACATCTTCCTCTGTCCCACTGTCATTTTCCACGGGATCTAATGGGAGTTCTCCATTGTTCGATTCAATCTTCTTGATAAACTTTGTTGAGTACAATATCACCCCAAATCTCATAGGAAAACTATTCTCGTACAAAGAAATAATCGTGTCAATTGCCTGCAAAAGATAATGAAACTAAAATTAGATAAGTAATTCTGGCAACAGTATAATGCACATATAACGAACTGACGTCACTTTTTACACAATAAAACTTGCCTCAAGTCCATAAATGAAGGTAGAATCCACAACAAAAACTGTATGGAACAAGTTCTTACGAATATAACGTAGTTGCTCAGGGAATACCGGCATCAAAATCTACAACACCAAAGTAAAAAGATAGAAACACTTTTTTCAAAAGAATGCAAATTAGTGCGTGAAGCCATCTAAAGTAAATAATAGAATTGAATACATCCATGTGAAAGATAAACACACCTCATTTATATTACTACGCCAACGATTGTACATTGCATCCACCTCCAAAACCACCATTGGTTATCAAATCACGAAAGCTCTATTATGAAGATGTATTCTACTCATAAGAGTTTAGTGTATCTAGGTTACTTAATCAGATGCCAATCTATAAGATAGTTAAAATTTTACTTCTAAGCTTCTATCTCTTTCGTGCATAAGAAAACCCGTGAACTACAAGGAGGTTGTGTGTAAGGTAGTCCCCAGAGCTCAGACAAAGGAGAAAGGCAGCCTACAGTAAACCTTTCATTATTCTTATATAAGTTGAACCTGGAAAGGAAAGAAAAATGACATTCCAATCCAGAGTAGTTAGGATCTGATCTGTTGAGTTATAATTTTTAGTATCTCAAAACACAAAAAGGTCCTTTTGCGGTGTTATCTACAAAACTGAAAACCCTACATCCATATGATTAGTAATATATAACACCAAGATCATTCGAAGAAAACCTGGTACCAGCTACATAAAAAGATCGGGTAATTCTCCTTGCTAGAATCTTCTTGTAACTTTCGCAGTTGATGTTCTTACTAGAATGTTGTGAGGGTAGAACAATTGGAGCTTGTATAACACCCCAAAATACAAATATAAAATATTAATTTCTTTCTTTTAGTAAGGGTTCTATAATCCCATCTCTGAATTGTTTGTGTTTGTGTTTGGGCTATGAAGATAAAACCAAAGTATTCCGAGGAAAGTTACTAGCTCCTTAGGTTGTGATATCTGAGGTTCGCTGCTTAAGTATCTTGGTCTTCCTTTGAGAGTGAAGAGGGAAAACTCTTTTGGGGTCCAGCAGCGAAAAAGGTGCCAAGTACTTAGAAGGGTGAAAGAAGGTATACATTTAACTGGGAATAAAATCACTGTAATCTAGATCTCTTACTAGCATATCTCTACCTACCTTAATTTACAATTACTCAACTCTTGTAGCCAAACTAGAAAGCCTTCAAAGAAAGGAGTAGGAGAGCATACTAGGTGTCATAAAGGTTCACAAAAAGAACAATACTTTCACTTAAGGCCAGTCATACTGGGTATGCTTTTAAGGCTGAAATTTATCTTTGTTAGAAGGTACTTAAGAAGCTCAAGTGTTGGGATTAATCAATCTTTGTGTTCTAGATGGTTTATCCTTTACAGAGCAGGTGATAAACTGCAGTTAGGATCTAAGAGGAAAAGTCTTCTCAATACATAAATTTTGTTAGAACTTCATAATATCATATGGTGTCACTGTATCTTACTTATCAAAAGAAAAATATTCTGTCACTGTATCCTATGTGCTAGTCACAATCGATTATCAACATAATTAAAAATTAAAAAATAAACAATTTTTCATCATAGTTAAGAAATTTTGACCTTACACAAGTCACTTGTCTTTCTAATTTTCTTGAACTGGGATGCGATTTCTTAGAACATTTTGTTTGGAATCAAATTGCTCACATTTGGATTAGACTTAATACTTTTCATAGCCCACTAGCAAAAGTATTAGGATTAAATCTGCTGCTCATAACCAAGTAAGATTTCATATTCTTATATTTAATTTTCCCATTGTGAGGTTGGGGTTGTATAGACCAAGCAATATGTATATATAAAGACAGAGAGAGAGGGAGATACAAGATGAAGACATGGCGTATGACGATGAAACGACATTTTGTAGTTTCTTCAAAATTTATTTTCAGACAAGAAGATTCTCCTACTCGGAAAACAATAGCAATTATGAGTCACAATTCACAACTATGTTTCACTAAAATGTGATACAGAATATTTAGATAGTAAAAAATTCAAATGTTTTCAGATAAAGGATCATCAATTTAAGTAGTAATAAAAACAACTAAAGCATTAAAGCCACTGTAACATGGTATCACAATTTGGGTAAAAGTAAAGTGACTTTTTCAGGAACAAACAAACCAGAATTTTAGAGAATATGAACCCTCTAACTTCTTGACTGAGATCTTCAGTGTGAGGATCTTCAAGAGTGACACCTGCACCACATACATCATTTTATTAAAGAAACTAATCTTAATGAAAAACCTAGTAGTACAAAATGGAAGTGTCTTACTTCTATGGCAATGTAACAATTTAGAAAACCCAAAAAAGTTATATAACATTCCTTTTCCATAAACCAAACTGAAAATTAGAATAACAGAAAGCTAAAACAGAATTGTAGAAATTAAAAAAAAAAAAAAAAAAAAACAAAACAAAAAAAAACCATTAGTCATACAGAAAAAAGGTATGCTAGTACTAACTCATTTTAACAGCAAGAATGCAAAAATTACCTGCAAAGCGTATGTAATAAACCAAGAAAAATAGAATATCTCATCTTTTAGACCTATCATGTACTGACCCTCTTTTATTTTCTGCTCCTGAAGCATTAGAATAAAAAATGAGCTCAGCCCAAAAGTTTTTATAAGCAAGGACTACTCCAATTTGGATATTTCAGAGATGAGAAAGACATCAATGTATGCAAAAATGTACAAAAATAAAATAGACTAGGAACATTATGAGTCCATGATTAGTAATGTATTAAACCCATTACCAAACCTTCTCTAACACAGAATAGTATGTGCATAAAAAATAATGAATTTAATAAAATTAAAAATAAAATAAAAACTAGAGAGATTATTTGGTGATAGATACAACATGGGCAATAATGAATTTTAAAAAATAAATGATACATGCGGCAACCCCATGGGCAATTCTTCCATAATTAGAAATATATATATATATATATATATATATATATATATATATATATATATATATAAGTCTAAATCAAAATGTCCAATGAACATAATCTTCAACATAACACCAAGGTAGAGATTTTTCGACACAATTACAACAAACAAGAACATACCTGAATGAAAATAAAAAGAATCCCCAAGAAATAGAGAAGTGTAGCTGTAATCTGAACCACAGGGACGGCGAACTCGACGAGGCCGAGCTGGACGTCGAATTTCATCAACGGCAACCGGTAATCGATGCCGGCGAGATGAGCAAGAAGATCGTGAACGTTCACAAAGATTATGAGAGCTAAGCCTATAAATAGAAGAACCAAAACCGATTTCGGCTCGCTGGAGAGCTGAACTGCGAAGCCACAGATAGGCCGGCGTTTATGTACTCGGACCAGTTTCGAGCCAGCTAGGGTCCGTATATCCGACCCTCTCGGGCCGATACAAGCTTCACCATTCTGATCAATCAAGACTGGTATGATATAGGTACGTAGAGAGAGAAAGTGAGAAAAGTGACAGAGAGATTGGAGGCAGAGTTGCTAAGAGAGAGGGGTGGTTAAGGAAGAGGGGCACACGTCATCACGATTAGGGAGTTGCAGAGAGAGAGGGGGGCGTAAGTTCAGAGTTGAGACCGAGAATAGAGATGGAGGCAATTTGGGAGTTGCAGAGAGAGAGATTGAAGCGATTGGGGAGTTGCAGAGAGAGAGGGGGGCAAGTTCAGAGTTGAAACCGAGAATAGAGATGGAGACGATTGGGGAAGCTGAAGAGAAACTAGGGCTCGGATGAAATTGGTAAAGTTAGAAATAAAGTGAAATAATATTAGAGCGCCAAATTTTCCCGCACTACATTTCGCACTTACCAGCGTTTCTTTAAAAAGCGCTGGTAATTAGTACTCAACACTAGCGCTTTTTTTAGATACGCTGGTGTTGATAGTATTCAACCCCAACGCTAGTAATTAATACTCAGCACCAGCACTTTTTTAGAAGCGCTGGTAATTAGTACTCAACACCAACGCCTTTTTTAAAAGCGCTGGTGAAACCCTAATATGTTGTAGTGGAAAAATCCTTCTGTTCCTCTCAATCCATGTGTGATACATAAGTGCTGCCAAGCTCATTTTGGAGAGAGTGTGATTATGAGAAGTTGAGAAACCCTTCTAATGATGTGCAACCCAATTAATAAGATCAGGCCAGGATGAAGGTAGGATGTGAAACCCACATCTTGTTTGTAAAAATGTCCACAAAGGCTTAACAAAGGAAAACTGGAAAAAAAAAGGTGATTGTGGGATTCTGGTTCTGTGTTGCAGAGGGGGCACAAAGTGAAGTTAATGTGTGCAGTACATCTCCTATTCAAAGTAGGAAGTCTTTGTTGAATTGCCACCCAAAGTGTGAAGGAGTGTTTAGGGATAGATGATTTGGTCTAAACAAGGTGAGTCCATGGCAGAGAGGTGTGTTGTTTGTTGAAGTGCTTCATGGTATGTGATATAGAGAATTGCCCATTGGGTGAGGGTGTCCAGATGTGGGTATCATTGCAGTTGGTTTGTAGAATGGGTAGGTTTGATGTAGTGTCTAGCTGCGGAATTATAGATAGTAGAGAAGGGGGAAAGGACCATGAGTTGTTTGTAATGAAGGAACCTACATTTGTTTTGCTGTTGAAGCCAGAGAGAGAGATCATTTGTGGAGATGTCAGTTGGTGCAGAGGACCTAGGTGGCACCAGTTGTCAAACCAAAAATTAGAGCTTAAACCATCTCCAATTTTTACTCTGACAAGTGGATGAATTGTGTCTTTGAGGCTAAGCAATTTTCTCTAATTCCATGAGCACTGACTTGGAATCTTGACCTCCCATATGCTTTTTCCTTTTAAAAGAAAAATGTTGATCCATTTCAACCACAACATGTCCTTTGAGTTTATAATGTGCCAAAAGTGCTTCATTATAGCACTCTCATTCCATGTGTGAAGATTTGGCAAACCAAGGCCTCCTGCTCTCTTTGGTAAGCAACATTTATCCCAAGCAATCTTTACCCTAGTTTTCTTTAGGATTGGATCTGTCTAAAGGAAAGCTCCAAAGATGCTCTCAAGCTCATGTGTGATACTTGCTGGGAGAATGAATTTGGAACTCCAATACATCTGTGTGGAGAATAAGACTGCTTTAATAAGCTGCAATCTCCCTGCAAATGATAAGTTTTTGCTGGTCCAGTGAGCAATCCTTGCTGTGACCTTGTCTAACAGGGCTCTACAATCATTGGCTCGAAGCATAGTTGCCACCAATGGGACACCTAAGTATCTTACTGGCAACTCCTCTTTCTCATAACCGAACACTGAGAGAATCTCACCTTGTAGGCTATCATTTACACCACAAAAGCAAACATGGCTCTTTTTTGGTTGATGAGTAGACCAGAAAGGTTAGAAAATGTGTCACTTGCAATTTTCATGGTCTGTATAGAATGTAAGCTTCATGAGAAAAGAGAAAAAGGTCATAAGCAAAAATCAAATGAGAGAGGCCTAATTCCTTGCACTTCCAGTGGAATTTAAAGGGATTTCCTGAAATAGTTTTCTCCATAATAGAAGAAAAAACCTGCATTACAAGCACAAAGAGAAAAGGGGAGAGTGGGTCTCCTTGCCTAAGGCCTTTAATACTATTGAAGTGGCCATTAAATTCGCCATTGATAGAGATGGTGAATGAGGGAGTTGTTACACAGGCATGGATCCATTTTATGAAGATTTCAGGAAACCAAACAACTTCATGGAATCAAAAAGGAACTCCCAGCAAACAGAATCAAAGGCTTTCTTGATGTCAATCTTGATTGCATATCTAGGGGAAGAAGCATTCCTGTGGTAACCATTAAGAAGTTCTTGGGCCATAAGAATGTTATCATTAATGATTCTACCTTGAACAAATGCTGATTGAGTAGGACCAACAATATAGTGGAGGATAGGTTTAAGTTTGTTTGAAAGAAGGGTGGAGATGCATTTGTAAATGGTGGAACAACATGAAATTGGCCTGAATTCATTGAGGGTTGAAGGGTTGGAAGTTTTAAGGACAAGTGTAAGGTATGTGGAATTAACTTCCTTGAGCAGTTTCCCATTGTGGAAGAATTGTTTGATGGCAAGAGTAATGTCAGCCCCAACAATAGGCCAAGTTTTTTTTTTAAAAAAGTAGGCATTGTATCCATCTGGACCAGGGGCCTTATCACTACTCAATGAGAACATGCATTGCATGATTTCAGTGTCTGTGAGAATGATTGTAAGTGATGGGATAAAATGGGGTGGGATTGTTGGCCGGATAAATGGATTTAGGTGGTTAATACCAGGGTAGGAATGAGGATTCTTCCCAAGGGCTGTGGTGAAATGGGACACTATTTCCTGCTTGATGGCCTGCTCAGTGTCTATTAATGATCCGATGTATATATAAGTTTTTCAATTATTTCATGATGTGTCTTTTACAAAAAAATCATATTTTACATGCCTTGGATGTTTCGTGTAATGAATGGACCTTTTTAACATTAAGGCTTGAGAAAATAAAAACATAAAGCAAAAGAGTTTCATGAAATATCCGTGAGTTTTGAACTTTTTTATCCTTAATCGAACAATATGGTGTTCTTAAATATAACTTTTCTAGGGTACTGAAATTGTAAGACCAAAGATGAATGTAACATGTACAAAGCTGGTACTCCTAAATTGGAATTCATATTCTGGTGCGGGTCAGTACTAATTTTTAAATGTCCTATAACCAATAACATAAATATAATTAAATGCAAATCACATCTTATGAGGTGGGTACTATATACTGTATTATTTCATCCAACTAATATTATAATTTAAAAACATACAGGTTGCTCATTTAAAAGTATCAAATTCGGTCTTCTGAAGTACTCTAATAAAAAGCCGAAGTCTCATAGGGAATTTCCTGATCAATCAATCAATTTTGATTGGTAACGTTTTTACTATGATAAAGCAGGAGAAGATCAGTGTAATATTATTAGATATCACATGTAAACTAACCATGTACATAAAATGCACATATATATATGTGTGTGTGTGTGTGTGTGTGAGAGAGAGAGGCGAAAAAGAATGGCATTTGAAATATAAAATAAAGAGAAGCAATTATGAAACTACTTGCTCAAAAATTGCAGCCAAAATCAAATAAAACAATTCTTACCTCTAAGCAAATATATCACTAGATGACTATAACGAGAAGTTATTATATGATCTTAGGACTATTTTGTTAACTTAGCAGTAGCTTTGTTACAAAATTGCATCACCATTCTTTTTTTCCCAGCTACCTGACAAGGTCCCAAATGCCATAAATTTTGGTGGCTCATCACCACCACCTTGTTTGACCACAAACTTGGGGGGACTGGTACACACACACCATTCTTTTTTTCCCAGCTACCTGAAAAGGTCCCAAATGCCATAAATTTTGGTGGCTCATTACCACCACCTTGTTTGAGAACCACAAACTTGGGGGGACTGGTACACACACACACACACACCATTCTTTTTTTCCCAGCTACCTGACAAGGTCCCAAATGCCATAAATTTTGGTGGCTCATTACCACCACCTTGTTTGAGAACCACAAACTTGGGGGGACTGGCGCACACACACACACACACCATTCTTTTTTTCCCATCTACCTGAAAAGGTCCCAAATGCCATAAATTTTGGTGGCTCATTACCACCACCTTGTTTGAGAACCACAAACTTGGGGGGACTGGTATACACACACCATTCTTTTTTTCCCAGCTACCTGAAAAGGTCCCAAATGCCATAAATTTTGGTGGCTCATTACCACTACCTTGTTTGAGAACCACAAACTTGGGGGGACTGGTACACACACACATACCATTCTTTTTTTCCCAGCTACCTGACAAGGTCCCAAATGCCATAAATTTTGGTGGCTCATTACCACCACCTTGTTTGAGAACCACAAACTTGGGGGGACTGGTACACACACACACACACACACACACACACCCTCTCTCTCTCTCTCCACAGTGACACGGACACCAAATTAAGGCTTTGCCCAATATTGAGTCCGAATCTTTGTCGTGCACAGCTAGCTCTGTAATGCGTTTGTAGTATAGTAAATGGGATTATGGTATTAAGGACTTATATATACTATTTGGTAGAATAAAAATCATAATGTTTTAAATAAATGAAATTGATCAAAATGCTGACATGGACGTGAAAAACCATATTCGTTTTTGCAAATTACCCTTAGTATTAATTCCATGTACCACTTTTGTGCATGCAAGTACTATTTTTCTGCACAAATGCACCATTCTTTTGCATTAGATACTATTTTTTGTACAGAAATACCACGTTTTGTATACATGTCTACAAAAAATAAAAATAAAAAAAATAAAAAAAATAAAAATAAATTGTACTTTCATGCACAAAAAGTGGTAATTATGTGCAAAAAAGTAGTACTTCCATAGACAAAAGTGATATCTCAAAAAATGAAGGGTAATTTGGATAATCAATAATATTTTTTTATATTCACATTAACAGTTTGATCAATTTCATTTTTTCAAAAGATTAGTACTTTGACTCTAGTAAATATGCTTCATAAGTCCATCTATATATAATAATCCCATAATAAATTGTGTTGAAAACATTTTTCAACAACATTATTTCTAATTTCAACATTAGTATTTTAACATAAAATCACTCTTCAATAATTCAAAACAATTTACAATTAGGACAAGACTTCTCTACTCATCGAGTAGGTCTTCCCTAATTACTACTAATGTGATCCAATCACAAATGTACAAATAGTCTCTATTGAAATGTATATTATATATATGTATTATATTTTGTTTCCTTTTTCCTTCTTTCCTCCTTAAATTAGTGAATATAATAAAAATAATGTAGTCCTTTTGGCTTTGTGCTTGTTTCATTTTTTGTCTCTCTTCAACTTTAACGGGTAGCGTTCTCATTGAATGGTTCTACGATTTCATTGTCACCAAAGTCGGTCAAATTGAATATGAAATTGAATTATGACATAGCGTACCATGAGACCCAAGACTATTAGGGTGAGATTAACCAGACTGGATGGGTTAAGGGTACCATGAGACCCAAGACTATTAGGGTGAGATTAACCAGACTGGATGGGTTAAGGGTCAATGTCAGATTCAAGGCACTAAAGATTGGGGACACTGGTAGCATTCTCATAAGATAGGTTACAGGTAGCATTCTCATTGAATGGTTCTACGATTTCATTGTCACCAAAGTCGGTCAAATTGAATATGAAATTGAATTATGACATAGCGTACCATGAGACCCAAGACTATTAGGGTGAGATTAACCAGACTAGATGGGTTAAGGGTCAATGTCAGATTCAAGGCACTAAAGATTGGGGACACAGCCATAGCCAGATGTCCTCCTCCTAGCGATCTCGCTCGAGAAAATATACAATACGCTAGGGTATTTACTCATGGTATCCTAAACCCACGCACATTCGTGAAAACTCTTAATTTATCTTGATACATGAGAAATGATAATTTTTTAAGAAAAAACGTGATCATGTATTGAACAGTTAAATCACATATAAAATATCTTTGGAGTAATGGAGTATTATATACTTTTTTCTATCGAGCCGGATCACATAGGGCTGGATCTAAAATTAAAAATAAATAAAAAAATAAAATTATCTGCAAGAATAAGAGAAACACTACCATTTTGATTCTTGAAAAAAGAAAAATACAAACAATGTTAACCGCAGTAGCAACGTTAACCCTTTTATACATTTAATTTGAAGTAAAGCTACTAAAATTTGTGAATTCAGTAATGCTCCTTTGTATTATAATTTGGATAGGTCTCAAAATTTTATACCATTACTTTTTATTATTTTGTTTATAAATTTAACATAGTACCTTTTTATTTTTTATTTTTTTGCTTTAAACTTTTAAAACAACCTTTTCACAAGTTTGGTTACCAACTACCAACAACTTTGTGCCACCAAAGATTAAATCATCCAATTTTTATGTATCCTAATGTTATTTTATATGAATATTATGTAGTTATAAAAATTTTGTATTTTGAGTTATTCAGGTTATAAAAATTTTGTATTTCGAGTTACGGGTAGTGCCCTATCCGATTAGCGATATAAGAATTCTCACCTCAATAAATTTAGTGTATTGAAAACAAATTTATTTATGTTGAAGGCACCTATAACACAAGATTCCAACTTCTTGCGAAGTAAAATGGTGGAGTACACTCCAAAGAGATCGGTCCTCTGCGTGAAAGGATAGGGTTATAGTAGTTAATTATTAGAGATCAGTCCTCTGCGTGAAAGGATAGGTTATAGTAGTTATAGGTGCCTTCAACGTAAATAAATTTGTTTTCAATACACTAAATTTATTGAGGTGAGAATTCTTATATCGCTAATCGGATAGGGCACTACCCGTAACTCGAAATACGAAATTTTTATAACCTGAATACTCCAACATATATGTTCAGCTCATGCTTATTGGGGTTGGCTTTAATTATTTTTGGCTTCCCTTTTATTTGTATATATAGTGTTTGAGCTTGATCTTGTTGGGCTGTTGTACTGCTTTGTAAATGTTAGGTTGATCTAAATGTTGGTGAAATTCATCTTTGGTCCTCCTGTTTCAGCACCTTAGATAAGGGAAATTTAACAACACTACATCGTTAGATGAAGGATCAAAATGTAAAAACTCATGGATATTACACGAAATTATTTTGCTTTAATTGTGTTTAGTTTCTCAAGTCCTACTGGTAAATAGGTCCATTGACTACATGGAACTGTCCAAGGCATGTGTAATAATTGAAAACTCATGAAATAATTGAAAAAACTCATATAAGTTCCTAACATTAAATAACGTTGAAAATGATGTAACATAAATTTTGTTTTTAAGTACACCTCGTAACATCTGTTGTTGTAGATTATTGTATTTGTGGTTCTAACATTTCATAACCTTGTCATGCCAACTTCATTTTCTTAAGATGTTCGATATTGATAGTTTTATTTGTGATTTTAATTTTTTAAGATAGTTAATTAAGTTTTAAGTACTTTGCAAATAGCGATTGACACATTGTCTTAATTTAGATTTTAGAGTACAAGATCCAGGTATATATTTTATTCTCCCTTATTGTGACATGAAATGGTGTACATTGTAAAGTAGTACTTGTATTCTACTTCGCCAAATTCAAATTAGATATATTTACTGAAAGAAAAAAATATTTAAGTTGGATATGATACTAAATTATGGCATAGCTAGCTACCATCATATCAATGACAATTAGGACGTGAGAGTGGCGGGACGAATTTAATGGATTTGGAGTGTTAAGGGGCCACTGTCAGATTCAAAGTAATGTCAACTCGAGTTAAACTCAAGTTTTAAGTATGTCAAATTGTTTATGAGATTAAAGAGCATCTAGTTTAGTGGTATAAATTATGCATTCTCTTCAGAAGGGAAGGAGTTCGGGTCAGGTGGTCAAAAAAAATTATGTGAGTGGCATTCTTAACAATGCAAAAAAAAAAAATAAAAACTAACTGTTAGAGATTTTTTTTTTGGGAATTGTTTTGGTTATTAAAATCTTCAATTATTAAAAAAACAAAGGACTAAAGCATATACATTACACATTACACATTGAAATTATATACATTTAACTTAAAATGAAATTATTTAAACTTGTGAATTCAATAATGTTACGTTTGGATTATAATTTTCAAAGGATTGAAATTTTTTATAGTTTGTATTATTTTGTTTATAAATTTAATTTAATATCGGTTATTATTATTTTGCTTCAAGCATTTAAACCAACTTTGTCACAAGTTATATTAGTAATTATCAATAACTTTATGTCAGCAAAGAATAATCACCCAATTTTAACCTTAATCTTGCTTTATATGAATAATATGTTGTCCTAAAAATATAAAAATTAATTAATTACAGAAATTTTTGTTCAAATTTCATCCAAAATACTTTTGACTTCCAAGATTTAAAACTCAATTTCAATATCAACTATTGGGCCCATCATAAAATACTTTTGGGGTCTCCTTGTGACGTGAAATGGAGTACACAAATGTAGGGCCAACTGCCTTGGAGGACTGAAGCTGTGTTTGGATTGGGCCAATCATGTCTGATCCTAACCCCAAAACTCATATCAGGCTGTTCTAGGGCCCACAAAACCTACAAATGTAGTAATATATTTGACTTGGGTGACTGGTTTCAGGCTATACTATGAAATGGAGTGGGTTCAAAATCTCATATAACAGCTTTGTTGATGATGAGGTCATTCCAGGAGGAAGGACAGATGAAATTCATACCCATTCAATCAACATTCTTCGTTTTAATTTATTGAAAGCAATTTATTATTTGAATGGTGAATGTGAATGTTGAATGTTGAACCAATTTAATTTATCCTTAAAAATTTTTATATTTTTTTACAGTTGCAATATAATTTTAATTAATGATAGTAAAATTTATTCTCTCCATAGGTCGAGTGAAATCAAATCATGTTAAATATTGTGTAATTGTTTGTTGTTTTGTGATTGAATTTTTATGTTTGCTTGTGATTTGTTTTGGTTGCGATGAACAATGCGTATTTTTATGCATCGATCGACAAGTATACAAACAAGAATCAAAATTTAACTATTACATATAGAGCGAAACAAGCTGAATGAAACATATTCCACATTAACCACACTGATGCAACAAATTATTATATGAAATGCACTATATATTACAATAAGCAAATAACTTTAAACACATCACCCAGACTCCAACAATCTTTCTTCCTCACAGCAGAAAGAACATAGCTTCTCACTGAAGACTTAATATATATATATATATATATATAAATGTTATATTATATTAGAAGGCGGGTCTTCCACTGTGACCTAAGTACATAACCTTTCTGCATGACAGACCGTGGGACAAGCACCTCAAGATCTGTCTTTGAGTGGGAGAGGTTGAATGAGTACAGCTAGGACCTGTTCCCGAGTTTCTCGGTCTTGAACACCAAATCCATCCCCATTTTGGTAGATGAAATTTGCCACTCGTGCCGTGTTTGTAGTATACCTTAAAAATGGTTTCAGTGACTCAGCTTTTTGGTCAACGCATTCACTGTTTATTTTCTTCCATGTACTCCTTATTATGCTTCTAATGTGCTTCCGAGCTATCTCCTCAGGAACATTAGCTTCTCGCATGAAACATAAAATCGAAGAAGGCGCGTCACCTCTCTCTAGCTCAGCCTGTTCAAATATATATATATATATGTTCAGTCACATAAAACATGTAAAGTACAGGTATCTAGGAAAAATCGGTCTAAGTTTCTTTTTTTAAATTAACATGATTTATTTATATTGAAAACCTTAATTTCAAGAAGATCATAATTACCGATGATGTCCCAAGGTCATTGCAAAGTCGAATTATGAGTGACGTATAGTACACAAGGTCATGACCATTTTCTAGAACATCTGTGACCTCCTTTGTGACCTCTTGTGTAAAAGAAAGAAGTGCATGAAGAGAAAGCACGGTGCCAGACGATGAAATCCACCCATTGTCGAGATACTCTTGCAGGGATGGTGTATAGCCCTTGTGGTACCACTTTGCTTCCACAAGTAAGGCTTTACAAAAATCTGCCCACTGAGATAACAACAAAGATCGATTTTCGTCAAGATCGAACTCAGACTAGCTAATAATGAGAGCTATATATAACTAAATGTTAGTATATATATGACAAAAAAATAGTTGTCATGATCAAGTGGTATACCACTTTCTGCAAATGAGGCAATACTGAGTTCCAACCCTTCTCTTTCTTAATTTCGTTAGCAACTTCATTGGTGGTATTATAGAGTGCTTCATAGCAAATCTTCATACATTCTGGAAGGTGTTGAACCTCCTTGGGATCCCACCTGAAATTGAAAAATCAATAAAGATATTGATAGATGCGAAGGCTTGCTTGGTTTGCCATACAGAAAATAGAAAATTGTTTTAAGAGAAATTATAAAAGACGATATTCTGAAAACATGCCTTTTTATAGTGAGTTTTTGAAAAGCAGTTTTCAAAAACAGTCAAGGAAGATTTTTGTACAGTTTACGAATTTTCAGTTTTAAGAAAACAAGGGTTGTTGATTTATTGTGATCAATATTCATCTGCAGATACTGACCTATCTACTGCATTAGTGAAGCACTCTAGTTCTTCCAGTGAACCGTAGACATCGTAAACATCATCAATAACTATGATAAAAGTAATGGCTTTGGTTAACCATTTTCTAAAATTTCCAAACTGAGGTTCGAAAGCAACTCCCACTGCCCACAGATAACTTTCAACCACTCGGTCCCTAGTAAACTTCAGATTTTCTGCCAGACCAAGATTCTTCCACCACCTGAATGAAATATTAATATCAAGATATTAATCTCTTACTTTTGTTTTTGTTTTTGTTTTGTGTGTGCATGTGTGTGTGTGTGGTTGTGTGCAGTTGTATCGGATAATTACATGCATGTGAGGTTCTTTTGTCATTACCTAGCTGTCACGCCAAGATCTTTTTGGTGTATGGCTTGAACCATGTTGAAGTTAAATTTTGCCAATTCAAGTAAAATGGGGTTTGTGTTATCCTCTTTCTCAAGCGCAATTATCTGCCTCCTCACGTTGTACCACTGCACTCTCCAGTTCAATGGAAGCTCTACTTCATGGCTCAATTTTGTGATAACTTCACTAGATAAAGCATTAGCATCATCCAATATGTTTTCACCTTCGAAGCCCAAATTCGAGGCGTCAAAAAGCTCGATCATTGCTTTAACATCAAATTGCGCATGTGTTCCTTTCATGAATTCATCCTTCTCGTCCACGAACCCTCTGAACATATCTGTGTTTCAAAACTAGTTTTCCAATGTTACTATATACTTACTAGAAATATATATTCTATGAGATTTTTACTGTAAATTTAGAAGTAAATTCATTTGCTCACCTTGAGAAACGCTGTAGCCGTGCTGCCTGAGGAGCCTAAAGCATAGTGCAGTAGCATAGAGGTCGTCCTTTACACTTGGACTGTTGGATACTATGTTGTCTAGGGCTTCTTTGATTTCCTCCTCGAATAGGTAAGACAGGCCAAGTTTTTCTATCTTGTCAGTTAGCTCCAACTTAGCCACTTGGTCCAATGCTTTAACAAACATCATCTTAATTTCCTCTTTCTGCTTCTCCATGTGTGCATTATACTCCTCATCCTGATATAACAAATATATATATATATATATATATATATATATATATATATATTGTTATTACAATGGAAGTTCCTTCAAACCTTTCCGCATAAAGAAACAGTTTTGAGATCATTTACTTTGTATAAAATTATGTTAATTTGTCCAATACATTCATCAGCGTACAAGATAAATACCGGCTAATGTTATCTTTTTGTAACATTGCTCGAAAGTTATATACATTACATAACTTGTACATAATACCAAAAGTTTACCTAATGGCATAACCTCCTCGTCCTAAAAAAGGAGGAAAGAAGTCAGTGTTGAAAATAAACTTGATTTTAGTATTTAGTATTTTCAAGTATTTTTGTATCCATGATGCATGTGTTAATTTAGCATGTTAGTGGGTAGTAAATTGTCTTAGTGGGAGTTAAGGTTATGTAAAATAAAGAGTCATGAGAGTTAAGCCTAACAAATACTATGTTAGTGAGAGTTATGCATATTGAAGATTATGTTAGTGGGAGATAGGAGAGTTATGGACATTTAAATGTAATGGTTACACATACATATGTGAGGCCTATATATTCATGTACTCTAGTCAAATAATAGATCAAGTAAAATAAAAAGTATTTTCCTCCATTTCTATTCTCTTCGAAATAGTATAGTGTTGTGTGTGTAACTAGGCCACTATTTCCAACAGTCAGGTCTGGCAGAAATGTGTATGAGTACTTACGCAAACAAAAAAAAAAAATTAAAAACAAACTAATGTCATAAGGTATGATGCAAGATTAATTAAGTTAGCAATCTCACAGTGTATTCACTTCTGAGAGACTGAAGGAGTTCATATTTCCAAATATTTGGCTTGTAGTTCGCGGATCTCCTTTCGGAGATTTGATGTGCCATATTGAAGGCTTCAGCCTTCTTTTGGCACTGAACCAATTGCTCATCACTGGGCACTACTCCATTAGTGCAATCCATTATTTGGTTTACTAGCTGTGTGTGAAGGAAAGGAAAATAATGATCAATAATGTGTAACTACTGGTGAGAGACTATGCTTTGAGACCTACACTGGTCATGTTTATATATACAACGCTCAAATTGATCTACAATGTGGAACACGTTACCTGGTCCCTATTGATTTTGGTAGTATTAAGATATTTATTTTATTGTGGTCATGTAGGTTGAGTCAACTTCAAAGAAAGTGAAAAACGAATCACTAGTTCCTTCGGGTAATGAAAAACTGTGTAATAGTGTTGAAGTAAAAATAATGACGTTCATAAGAAAGGTTCTCTTCTATGCCTTGCTATCTTTATGTGTTTAACGCGATTGAATCGTATTTTGACACAATAGATATTATATATATTTATGTATAAAATTGATAAAATATGACATAATGTCACCCTAAATTTGTAAAATAGTATAGTATTATATAATGTCCCCCGAATATTATTTTTTTCTTAATTTTTAACACAATTAAATCTAATTTTTTCAGCCTCTAAACTAGAAGTTTTATAATACTCTGGGTAGGACACCCCAGGGTTTCCCAACCATTGTATCACCTATGGTTTCGCCTTGTTTTAATGCATTATTTCAAGTTGAAAATAATGGTATTAAAATTAAAAATAATAACATTAAAGATTTTCAACACAATCAAATCTAATCTTTACAGCCTCTGAACCAGAAGTTCTACAGTACTTTGGTGTACGGCATATTCCAATTATTGGATCATTTAGCAGGTGAGCTCCGCCACCGCATTCAAAAACTAATGTTGTGTTCGGTAGGAAGAAATGAAGAGGTGTGGAAAGAAAAGATGGCAGAAAAAATGAATTTTCTTTATTCCTTAGAGATGATAGAAAGAAAGGAGAATAAGAAGAATGACATATTCTTCCAACTTTACAAATTTTCATCCAAAAAAATGAGAGAAGATATGTGGACTATTTTAGAAGTTTTAAATTAAATACTATTCTAAATTATACTAGTTTTAAGTTACAATACTATCCTCTCCATAGATTCCAATGTTATACTAGTAAATATTATTGGATATAATGATAAAAACCACTAAAACTTTCTCTCTCCTTCTCTCTTAACTAACATAGTTAACTTATAAATTTATTTTCTTGTTTCTATCCAACCGAAAAAATTACAAAATTTCATTATCTTGAAATGTCGCATCCATTCATTTTTCCCTCTTTCACTCAATTTTTTTCTTTACAACGGAATAGAGCATAAGAGATTTGGGTATTGGGGTATTCTAGAATTTTCAATTTTGCGCGGGTTCAAAAGAAATCTTCAGTCAGCAAAGTCTTTGGTGTCCTCGTCATTGAGGAGACTACATCTATGAATACAAGAAAGGACAAACAGAAGTTTGTGATTCTCAAACAAGCAGCCTAAGAAAATTTCCTTGTAGCGCGTGTCCTTTTGTCCCATATACAATGGCGTCAGGTGGTAGGGTTCGTGGTGATAATGAGGTGTGAAAATTTCTTTGTAGCGCGTCCTTTTGTTGGCGTCAGGTGGTAGGGTTCGGGTGATATTGAGGTGTGAAAATTTCATCCACATATGCTATTTCAGAACAAACAGAACTGTAATGATTCAATCCGTGACAAAATAATTGATAACAGCTAACGTCAGTGTTAAGTTAGCACCCTGTAATGGTACATTTACTGAGAGAACAATTGTGCTAGTATTAGATTTTGGCAGTAATTTTTGAAGGCAGTTGTCTAAGAATTGCTTCTCTTTAATTAATTTATATTTCAAATGTCATTCTCAACGTTGGTTGTGATACCCCTTAATTTTGGAACACGGATTGATCAACTCCGCGCACAAAATCAAGGGATATCAAAACAATTTAAGTATTTAACAAGCACAGAATACAAAGATGAATAATAAAGAATAAATAAACCGCTAAAGAAAACTAATAAATAAATATTACTTAATGATTCTCCAACAATTACAATTCGGAAATCCCATAACTCAAGAACCCCTTAAAACATTATCCAATAATCCAATACTATTTAAAAATACACAAGATAAATAGACGAATGACAGTCTCCCAGCTGCGGATCCTCAACCTCGAGACTGGAACCTCTAATAACCTGAAAAATAAATCGTGGGTTAAACCCTACGAGCAAGTTCACTTTACCAGGCCTCTGAAAACCAATAAGCAGATCATCTCTGATCAAAACCAAACCTAATAAAGTTTCAACTTTAAAGCACGATATACATGTCTATATATAATTATATATACTATACTAATCACATCCATTATTAGGTTTATTAAATTTCCATACCTATTAAATAATTATTAAAATAATATTCATACCTAGACCAATCTACCATTTCATTTTATAAAAACTCCTTTGACCTTAATCCCATCCTAGTCAGTTGTTTAATCATTTAAACAACAAATTATAATAAAAGAAATACTCTATTTAATCCCAACCCGATAATGATTTTAATTGTTTAAATCACATATCCAAAATCCAAGTTTTGACAAATCATCCACGTCTTCCCCAATATTATTTTATTAATGTAAAATAATACACTAACCAGTAAGTACTAAACTATTCTCATTTAAGAATATCTAACCCTAATCCAATCCATACATACAACAACTATAGATGATATTTTAATCATTTAACACATAACAACGTAATTATGCTTTGGCAAATCAACCATGCCATTGTAAATATTTTTATTTATATATTGGCAATTCAACCATGCCTCCATAAGTATATTTATTTATACATTGGCAATTCAACCATGCCTCCATGTATGTATATTTATACATTGGCAATTCAACCATGCCTCCACAGGTATATTTATTCATACATTTAATTAGCAATTCATCCATACTTTCCATATATGTATTCTATTCATACAAATATTTAGGTAATATATTTAATCATTTGACAATTCATCCATGCCCACACTTTAACCATGAATTAACTTTAAAATTAACAATACGCTAAATCATACATAGCCATCACATGCATATTATACGCATATCATTAATTTAACAACCAGCCTATTAAGATATGCCAAATAAGAATGATAATATTAATCATCTTAAATGATTTATATATATATATACCTACACATATGTTATTTAATGTATATATGTGTTTAACACCTTCTTTAATAATCCTTGATTATTTAAAATCAATATACATACATACATACATATATATATATATATATATATATATATATATATATATATTCATCCTTCCATACAACTCATAGGCAAATTAAATATATATATATATATATACTTCCTTCCATAACAAATTATTAATTTATTATATTTACACCAATTAGTGCAACTAAATATGTCAGAAATAGTTTCCTTTAAATACTCCATATTGGTTTAAATAGTTTTCCGACACTTTCTCACTAAAACATAAATATCTCCTAGTAGGATGGGAATCTGATAATGAAATTGGTACCATTGGAAAGAAGACGAAAAATCCTTGAATTTGAGCTCAAGAATGACCCAATTTCGATTTAAAATGACTAAGTTATGACCGTTTTAATTTCTAGTGTCGAATTAGGCCAACATAGTTTCTCACGCGCGCCCACGTGCTTACTATGCACTTGCACGCGCTGGATTCAAGCCTCCTTGTGTGCTGGTATTGGCTAAGCTCTTTCAGCTACCGTGAGCTCACCACACTGAATCCATCACTTCCTTTATGCCGCATCCAATGGTCATAAATGAGTGCGCAAATGAACACGCTCACACTAGATTATTTTCTATTAACTATAATAGATCTAAGGTCCAGATCAGCGAGTGCACCATCTTCTCATGGTCTGCAATACACCAAATAATCCCATAGTTGACCAGACCACTTCTATGGTCCAGATACACATGCGCACCAAAGTTTTATGCGCCGCGATGCACCATATCAATTCACATAAGTTTAATTAATCAAATGGCCCTAATTGGCATATACACCCTATTATCCTACACCGCGCCGCACTGGATCAATTCTTTATTGTGCCGCCGCTCCACATGCACCAGTTACCTAGTATATATATATATCCTAACAAATAATAGGAAAATAAATCCTAATAAATTCCTAAAAATATCAGAAAAATTCCAGAAAATTACAGAACAATTCTAGAAAATAAAGAAACCATAATTAACTCTCTTGGGTCACAAATCCACCTATAGATTGATTTTAAAATATACATAACACCTATATATATCAATTAAAATCCAATAATCTAAAAATCAAATATAATAGTTTATACTTTTTAATTATTCCGATCTAACCATAATTTTTAAACAAATAAATTTAATTAAAGCCTTGATACTCAAGGTGAAATCCTTATGAGTTCTAAGAGGAAAGTTAGAGAAAACTCGCCTGAAGGTTTCGAAACGAAACCAACGCTTTAAGCTTTAATTATCTCTTCCAATTCCGACGTCCTCCTTTTCAGATCCGACCTCCTCCTTGTCAGTCCTTCTTCTTCCTCTCTCTCTGTCTGTTTTATTTTTCTAACGTGTAAAACATTTAACCCTAAAGCCTTATGTCTATTTTTATACACCTTAAATTCCAAATCCTATTCCAACTAGTATTATGAATTAAAATAATAATCTTTAAATAATTTATATCTATAAACATATATATATATAAATATATATTCCTTCCATAATTAACTCATTAGTTAATTAAATCATATATACTTATACATATCAATAAATATATATCTATATATATATCTTTCCATAACAATTATTAATTAATTATATTTATATATAATTATATATATATATATATAATTGATACAAAAGTGATCATTTAAATAATTAAATAACCACGGACCTTCATTAATTAACCCAATAAGGTTTCATACAAGCCCAAACCACATCTTTTGGTCCAACTTTCCTTAAGCCCAATCCAATTAATTTAAATAAATAAGATAATTAATTAAATACAGAAATTAAAATACTAATTACATGAAGCACATAAACAAACAAGAATTTACAACTAAGTCATATAATACCAATAAAATCAACACACCAATAATTCAATCAATAATCAACCACACAAACAAT